TTTTTCTCATGATTGGTCATTCTCCCATACCGTAATTCACTTTTTACAGAATTTCTTATATTTCTTATTATTATATACTGACCAGCTTACAATTATTGAGAGGAGTTTATCCACGTGATAGTGCTATGCCGTAGCATAGCACGTTGTAAAGAGGTTTGCGCAAAATCCAGCCGATCAGATGGCTTGAACCAGCCGTCTGATTGACACTCCCACTTCACATTTTGCTTAACCGCCACTCACTCACTGTCACGCAACTTTGTAGCTCGGAAAAAATGGCATAAATGGGGTTTTTCCGGTTTATAAAAGGTAGTACCTAAGTAGTAATTAAAGGCTGGTTGCGGAATTGCTAAGAATCTTGGATTCATTTCGATTTTTTCATCAATTCCCCTCCTAAGCATGTAATATTCTATATTCCGGCTATTTTCGCGATTTCATTCTGATTTTTTGGTCGTGCCCAACATTTTCAGATTTTTCAAGCCATATTTCGAGCTTTTTCTCCGCGCTATTACCGTAGAGCCGTTAAATGGCTCCTTTGGATGTAATTTATGCTAGGTCTTGCTAAATTCTTCTCAGTAGCTGTCACTTTGTATACCTACATACATCGGCTCTAGCTTTATATACCTAGTATGTAGTTAGCCCTACGAAGGAACCTCACTAAAGTGGAGCTGTAGGGCCATGTAACGCCACTATCACGTCTGATCACCAAACCACTGATCGATACCCGCCCATGCTATCAATTTGTTTTTGCTGGAAAAATCTGATGTCGAAAAGCTCTCTTGCTAGCTGTTTATCTGTGCGAAGGATATGAACTTTCATCGCTGAGCAAATAGATCTATCCTGTTCCATACCGCCAGTTTATATGCCAGTGTTACTGCTTGGACTTTTTTTTTTTACGTCGGCACTACTTGTCAGTTTTATTCGGTGTCCTGACACTGTCTTTATCAGCCTCTTAAGATGCAGATTTATCCGTGTTATAGAGACATCGACACTTTTCTCACACATTCCTGGCATTCTAGTATTTGTTAGCCTGGAACGGGTCGTAAAAGTAGAACAACTGCCATAGTCAAGTGTTGAACCGACCAGTTGCTACCAGTTTTTTGTTAAACTTCTAAGCTTAACGGAGTTCGGGTTGTTTTGGGAGAGGGGTACTGTTGTCTCTAAAAAAATCTCCGACACAAGGCGTTAACCATCGCCAAGAACCCCACTCTTAACCGGGCAGAAGTTTTTCGATTAAGTTTTCCAGTAAGTGGGCAAAATTCGAGACATTCTGGTCGACCTTGCAGCAACGGAGGCCATTAGATGATGGGTTGGAACGAGCCCATGGGATCCTCTACAGACGAGTTGTTCTTACTCTGTACCAGGCAGTGATGGATCGTAAGGTAGCTAAACTGAAGGGAAAGGTACTAGCCTGGGAGTTAACTCTGGCGATCGCATAACCCTGAAGTTTCTTTAGCTACTATTGATCCCATTCCCTCTCCAGTAGCCCTAAAACTCCTATGACTCCTATACCCTTTGATGATCGAGATCTTCAGCTAGCATTTCATTTCGATCCACATGAGGTCTCTTGTGTGTGTCATTAGGTCAGAGCGCCATTTTCCTTGAAATGTGGGCATATGTCATGGCAAAATTAGTTTCGGATGTCATTTTCGTCCGCGTATGTGCCGTTCACCGTGACTGGGAAATTCGCGACGACTCCCGACTATGCTCACAAGACTCCAAACCCGCCCTACCTTCCCATATCGCTTCTGAGCTTTCGATAAATCACTTTCTCTAGTAACTCATTCATATGTAATGTTTTTAAACCAATCTTGCTTTATTGTTTTCCCGAAAACAAACATTTAACGCTTCGATGGAGATGATTCAGTAACAAAGCGGTGACGGTTTTCTCCGAATGCTTTTCCACGGAATGTTTTCATTGGGNCCCTACCTTCCCATATCGCTTCTGAGCTTTCGATAAATCACTTTCTCTAGTAACTCATTCATATGTAATGTTTTTAAACCAATCTTGCTTTATTGTTTTCCCGAAAACAAACATTTAACGCTTCGATGGAGATGATTCAGTAACAAAGCGGTGACGGTTTTCTCCGAATGCTTTTCCACGGAATGTTTTCATTGGGTTTTCGCCTACACATCATTTCTTCTATGACATTCAACCGTCGAATGTCAAAATGTTACTTAGTGAAAGGCTTCTAATAAACTCAGGTAACTGGAGCAATACATACTATGTCCTTTGAGAAATGGCACCTTCCGGCTTGCCAAAAAACAGGATCATCTCACTATACGACTTCATCATTGAGCAAACCTTATCCACTTGATTTTTGCTCCTATTATTCTCATGAGGTACTAAGCAGTGAGCGAATCCGAGGGTCAAGAGCATTTTTCTGTTCGTTTTCTTCTCATGTCACTGCCAGTACATTACTCAACTCACTCCTTCGTTTTTCTTCTTCTTTCCTTCATTCTTTTACATATGCCTGCATGCCTTCCTTTTTCTTGTTTGTCTTTCTTGATTACTCGAATGCATTCCTTGATTCCTCCCCTCTTCCGTTT